CCAAAACCAGGCCAGTGACTGGGTGCAGTAATGTCAGGTTACAGGCCTTATTCATATATTAGAAAATGCAGAAAGAGAAAATTAAATGCTGATGTACCTTAGTAGTTGACATCATCGCACATCAGAACATTCTGGAAAACTGAGTGAGAAAGGCTGGTGACATCTCAGTGTTGTCGTCATGGCCTTACGAGTCTGGCCTTACGAGTTCCTGAGAGGAGCCTCCCAGCATGCAGACTGCGAAGAGACCCTGCAGGCCGAGGCGCAGCCCCGCTCACTCTCAAGCTGTGTGACTGTTGCCAGCTGCTCTGTGGCTGGTACTTGGATCCAGAACCTGATGCCCACGGTCTGGCTCATGATCCCGAGCTGAGTTTCGTGTGTGAAATAGGGATGATGCAAGCACCTCCAGCGGAGGGCTGTGTGGGTGTTGAAGGAGATGCTGCAGAGAGCTTGGGGTGCCACGTGACGTGACCTGAACCGCCGTCTGTGCTGGTTGTCATTGTCAGTGTTGCTTGTGACTTGCTGGTCAGCACTGGGTCCCAGAGGAAGGAGTGTGGGTCAGGCTGCCCACCTGCCTGGCACGGGATGGCCATGCAGACACCTCGCTGAGGCTCTTTTGCCAGACCAGTGCTGGTGAAGCCAACTCTCGTCGGGGTCTCTGTCTTAGGCAGAGGGAACAGAGGGGTTTGCCTGTTGCTGGGCTTCCTGAGGGGACTCATCAGCTTCAGTGGCTGCTGTGTCCACACCCCGGGCACAGGGCCAGCAGGAGTGGGCACTTCAAACTTCTGTTAATGATTGAATGATGTCCTGAATGGGGCAGTGAGGCTAGTGGCCATTAACTGGGAAAGGGAAGGAATATTGATTCTTTTAGAGTTTGAGGAAGTAGGGAACACAAGGTTAGTGAGAATTAATAGTTAATAGTAAGTGAGTTATTAAGCTAACTTAAGCTGTACATATGAAATCCGATGCCTGTCGTTCGAGATCCGTGCAAAACCACATTTGGAGATTGTGCTTTGTTAAGCAATGAAAAGGTGAGGTCTCATGGAGGTGTACGTGTAGGAATGCAGAGAAATCCTTAAACATTTCCCAGTTTTATCCAAGCGATTGGTGTTAAAAATCCCTAATAGGCTGGTGTTGTGGGTTAAACTGCCACCTGTGACACTGGCATCCCAGATGAGCACCAGTTTGTGTCCTGAGTGCTTCAGTTAGAACCTGGATACCTGCTAATACACCTGGGAAAACAGCAAGAGGCCCAAGTGCTTGGGCCATTGCCCCCCGCTTAGGGGACTTGGGCTTTGACCTGGTCCAGTTTTTGCTGTTGTGGCCATCTGGGGAATGAACTAGTCAGTGGAAAAGCTCTTTGTCTCACTTGTCAATGTGCCTTTCAAACAAATAAAAATAATTATCTTTAAAAAAGTAATAAAATTCCCTGATGTAGGAAAGTGCCTTCCTTCTGGGGACAGCTAGGACAGATGGCAGGGCACAGGTTACCTCCAAGGACGGGATCCTGGACCCCTCCTGGCAGGAGCAGGGTCGGGTTGGGGGCAGCTAGGACAGGTGCCAGGGCACGGGTTACCTCCAAGGGCAGGATCCTGGACCCCTGGATCAGACCCAGGAAGCAGGGTCGGGCTGCTTCCTGGGCACACATGCAGCAGAGAGAAGCCGATGGCCTGAAGGACTGTTCCTCTTGCCTCCCGCCTCAGCTCACGTGCTTCGCATGTGCACGCCCTGCACACTGAGGCTTTTGCTGGGCGGCTTCCTGGGCACAGGGGGCTGCCTCCCATCTCAGGAGATGTTTCTGTGTTCTTTCCCTGACGTGTCCCCCGCCCCCTGCCAGCGTGCTGCCCCTGATCCCAGCAGCCCTGAGCATCGACAGCCGCCTGTACTTGCCTTGCTGCTGGATGTCTCTCCTGCCTGTCAGACCTGTGTGCCTTTGGCTTGTCTGCCTTCCTCACTAGAGTAACGTGTAGGCGTGGGGGACACTCAGCATGTCACGCAGCCCCCCGCCAGGAGGGACTCAGGAATATTCCAGTGCACCACTGCAGAGTGGTTTCTTTTAGACACGCTCAGTGTAGGAAACAACTCCTGGATAAAATGTGATCCTTAAGGTAGAGCTGGTGTGCCCCTGTGTAGAATTTGTGTTAGTCTGATAACACCACGGTTGGGTGAGCAGGGCAGCATGGTTAGAAGTGGCCTTTTGAACGTTCTTTTGTTGCAAAGATTTCCCTGGTCTGGGCTTGAGATCCTATCACATTTTCTTAAAAAGATTTGTGTCTGTCAGCACTCCCAATCCACGTTGTGTCTGTGGATTCAGCCAAGTAGGAATTGAAAATATTGGAACAAAAAAATTAGCATCTGTACTGGACTTGTGCAGACTTTTCTTGTTGTTGTCATTTCCTAAACAACACACGGTGATGGCTGTTGATGCTGCGTTTCCATGTGTCAGGTCTGTGAGGGCTCTAGAGGGGAATCCAAGGGTGCCAGTGCGCAGGCTTCACGCACAGACCGTGTCACGTGGGTGTCTGTGGGGTTCCAGGGACCTGTCCCCCTAGCTGCTGAGGGGCACCCATGTTCACCCAAAGGAGTGCTTGCCTCCGATTCCAGAACTCCATGCACACGTGGAGAAATGATCCTGCCATTTTCTTTCTCTCTCTTTTCTGAAAATAAGTTTCAAGTAGCTTCCAAGGAATCATGTACCCATTCAAGTATCTACGTGACAACAGACATTTCAAATCCACTGCCGAGTGCTGGGAGTGCAGCACCATCTGTCTTCTCTGCAGTCTCACAGGGGAGGCACTCATTCAGCACATTATTGTACAAATAGTTATTAAAGGCCATGGTACGAGCTGCAAAGGGAAATAAGGAAGGGAGAGGGCAGGCCACCCAGCACATCTGTGGCTTCTGCTTCTTCAGTGACTAACTTTTAAAAGTGTCCCAGGTTGCTTGCAGCCAGAGCCACTGGTGCTCAGACTCCACAGATAGGAGGTGGGAGGAGGGGCTGGGCTGGCCAGTCCGGAGTGGCGTGCTGTGCGCTGAGGGCCTCCCTAGCTTAGTTCATCAGAAGATGCTGTAAGAACTTAGCAGAAGGGCTCTTCTGTTCTGTGAAGGCACCTGCATCTCAAATCATGGTCTGATCTGAAGCAGGTCGGCAGTGGCGGAGGAATTGTTGGCTCTGCTGAGGTCGTGCTTCACATGTCGCGTCTCAGCTTACTCTCGGCGAGTTCCTGGGGGAGTGGCCTTTGCTGCCCCTCGTGCCATCTCCCGCCAGTGTGGCTCAGCGCGTCTAGGGGTTTTAGGGCAGAGGCTCTTCTCAGTTGAGGTTCCTGCAGAATTGTATCTGAAGCCACATAGTTATTACATGTGGGGACTCTAGAGTCAGATAATCAAGGGTTCAAATCCAGGCTACAAACCACTTGGGCCCCTTCCTTAAGGCATGGTTTCTTCCTGTGTCTCTGTGTGTTGGGGGGAACTTTAGCGGGAGACACTGACTTACCTCTGTCTCTTTGGGGTAACCCTGACCTAGCAGGTAAGATGGGCAGCAGCGCCTGTTCTGAGGAGGTGTGTCAGGTGAGGTCACAGGGCACTGGCTTGCGCAGGTGCTGCTGGACAATCAATGACGCTGAATCCTGGTCCTGGGGTCACAACTCAGAGAGGGCGAGAAAACTGTGCTGGCGCTGAAAGGACCCCTCTCTCTCTGCTGGCATTTCAACCAGTACTACAGAACAATCATCATGTAACCTAGGAGACCAACTTTGGAAAAAAAAACTTACATTTTCAAAAATTCAGCTTGTAGATTAAAATTGTAGAAGGGAGTTATATTTAGAAGTGAAAATGTTCAATTTCTTTGCGTCGTAGCTAACTCAGAGCTTTCTAAAACCTGGAGCGAATTTATTCTCTTGTGTTTTGGAAGGTGTATGAAGGATACTGTCTGGAAGCAGCCCAGACTTTGGCAATGACTGTGGGGTTCCTTTCTCTTGAAGCAGCCTATTGCTTTAAAACAAACAAACAGGAAAATGAAACGCTGGGAGTACACACATTCGGATGGCGTTCTTCTCTTGGCACTGCCATTCTGAAAAAAACACAAGAGCTTCATTGTGTGAAAAATTAATCTTTAGCTTAAAGTTTGCTCTCTGGTTACGTTGTTTCCTTTGAAAGTCCTTGAGCAATGTGTCCATTTGCAGTGAAATGAAGCATGCTGGGGCATTCTCAGAGACGTTGTGGCTCACACAGCCATATCCCCAGGGGACCGGACACCTGGTTTCCTTTGATTCGAGGGTTACTTCTAAAACAGCAGTCACCGTTTACCATTCTACATCCTTATCTAGTAATAACTCCGCGTGCTAAGATGATGAATCCCAGCCTGTGCTTTTGTCGGGGTTGTGTGAAATTCTCCCTTTCCTGGTAGCTGCCTTGAGCTGTCTCTGTGACCATTCGCGTCAGTTACTTGATAGCAAGACCACACTTCTCCCAGTAGGATGCAGTGTACTCCTGGGTAGAACAGTCCAGTCGCAGTGGAGCCAGGAGTGGTTGCTGGATGGATGTGTGGGTGGGGTGGGCCTGGGCAGTGTGGCCTCCACAGTGTGTGCTGCATTCATCTGAATGCCGCTCTTGGTTTTTCTTTTTGAAATGTGGTAACCTGCTATTGGTGGCCTTTGGTTTAAAGGTGAGCTTGAGCCATACTTTGCTGCCAAATCTTCCAGGCGTTTAAAGGAATTATGGTGCTAAAGATGAACATAGTCTGCATATGGTTGCAGGTGGCTAGAGCAAAACAGATCATCACCAACGTGCTCCAAGGTCACGGGGTTTTCTTTGGAGTCTTGTCAGCAAGCAGCAGAGCAAGTCGTGAGAAGCTTGACGTCGCTTTTTGGTCTGATCTGCCAGCTTCCGGTTTCGGTTACATTTTCTGCATGTTTGTTTATTGAACCAGAAAAAAAAAACAAAAAACAAACCACAACTTGGGTTTTCTTCCTTTTGCTCTGATCGGTCTGTTTCCTGACTTGCAGAACACTGCTGAGCCTGTGGCAGCCACGGAGTCCCTGGCCGAGGTGCCAGAACACGTGTTGCGAGGACTTCCTGAGGAAGTGAGGCTCTGCCCGTCTGCCGTGGACAAGAGCCGGATTGGTGAGTCTGTGGTCACGGCGCCCAGCAGGTGGTGAGGAGCAGGTGGCAGCGAGGCTCCCTGGGGGGCATGAAGGGTAGGCAGCAGATTGACCCTTGACCAGAAGACTGTGCATTTACTGTAAAAGAAGACACACACACACACACACACACCCTTCATTGCCCCATGGAGTGGCCTTCCCTGCTCCCCACAGCTCGTCTGATCATGTTCCTCTAGTTGTTGCATTGTTTGGGGGTCGTACTTTCCTTCCAGTTTGTCTTTAAGATTTCGGGGGCCATTGGTAGAGAGCTGTACAGGTGATGCCACCTGAGTGTCTGCGACTTCTAGCTGGAGTTTTGCTGAATGAAAGGTGCGCTTGTGTGTGCTTGGGCTTGTTTGGGGGCCTCATCTTTCGACAGAAGACTGAGAATATAAATTATAAACCTTTGGTCAAAATACAGCCTTGGAATATCCCACATTTGTGCCCCCCCCCTTTTTTTTTCAGATGTCCTTCTGATAATCCAGTTTATAAGGATATGTGTGTGAATAAATTTATAATAAATTCATTTCCTTATTTCTTTAAAATTATTCTCATGTTTATTTATATTATTTATCTAAATAGCATTGATTTGATAGCCCACCTGAATTGGTTTGTTAGTGGTGTAATCAAATGCAACTCAGAGCAAGCTTACTGAAATCTGAATGAGACTGATCCAGTCTTCAATCCCATCGTGTTTGCATGAGGAGCAGGAGGCCAGGAAGGGAGGGACACCATTCCAGCTGACCCTACGTGCCAGTTCCCGTGGCTCCGGGTGGGACATGGCACCTGCCCCATTCCTGGCTGCTGTTCCATCTTGCCTGTTTAATTTATAGTCAGTGCACGACTAATGGAAGCAGTCCTGTGAGTGCCATGGCTGGGCATATCTTCTGGTCATTGTCATCTCTGGAAAGCGAGTTGTTCCTGCGTTGAGGACAGGGTTTTCTGACTGGGAGCACGAGACCTTTAGAAATATTTGTTCACTTGTTCACACAGCTGTCCTCCTCCCGCCTTTTTTATTTTTTTAAGATTATTTTTTTCTTTCTTTTAGTTGGAAAGGTAGATTTACAGAGAGAGGGAGAGATAGAGAGAGGAAGATCTTTTTTTTTAAAGATTTATTTATTTTATTACAAAGTCAAATATACAGAGAGGAGGAGAGACAAAGAAGATGATCTTCTGTCCGATGATTCACTCCCCAAGTGAGCGCAACGGCTGGTGCTGTGCTGATCCGAAGCCAGGAGCCAGGAACCTCTTCCGGGTCTCCCACATGGGTGCAGGGTCCCAAGGCTTTGGGCCGTCCTCGACTGCTTTCCCAGGTTACAGGCAGGGAGCTGGATGGGAAGTGGGGCTGCCAGAGTTAGAACCAGCACCCGGGGCATTCAAGGCGAGGACTTTAGCTGCTAGGCCACGCTGCTAGGCCCGAGAGAGGAAGGTCTTATATCTGCTAATTCACTCCCCTCATGGCTGCAATAATTGGAGCTAAGCTGATCCAAAGTCAGGAGCCAGGATCCCCCTCCAGGTCTCCCAAGCAGATGCAAAATACCAAGGCTTTTGGACCATCCTCTGCTGCCTTCCCAGGCCATAAGCAGAGAGCTGATTGGACGCGGTGCAGTTGGGACACGGGCTGGTGCTCATATGGGATGGCAGGCGCTTACAGTATAGGATCAATTGATCAATTGATCCATTGCTGGCCCCCCCAGCAGTATTCCTAATGCTCTTTACAAATAGCTCATGACCACTGGACACAGGCTGAAGTCTCTAGAAACATGCAATGAGGAGCTTACAAGTTGTTTGAACTTCACTTCATTCTGACTTTTTTTCTTCAACTATGTGTTTTTCAAATATTTGTGATTATTCAGTATGGATGGTTTTACATGTAAATTTAAATACAAATGTAACATGTTCTTTCCCAGCCATGGACTACTAGAATAGAATAGGTTGTTTATAGATAATCTGGAAAATACAGAAGCACATAGAGAGGAAAAGTAGAATTCCCCTGGAGAACCTGGTGGGGTTTGACCTTATCTCATGGATTTAACAACATCGTCTTGCTTTTAGGCAATCTAGTTCTTAAACTATTTTGTGAAACTGTGCTGATTTTAATGCTTTTAATCTTTCAGGTAAACACAATGCATTGAAATGTTGGTTTTATTTTCTAGGTGTCTGGGCCACTAAACCAATTTTGAAAGGCAAAAAGTTTGGGCCATTTGTTGGTGATAAGAAAAAAAGATCTCAGGTTAAGAATAATGTGTACATGTGGGAGGTAAGAGTGGATTATGGCTTCTTGTTCATTCGAGTTCTGAATAGTTTGAAGAAATTATTATCTTGTTCACTCAGAATTTGACATTTTAAAATAAGCCTCCATTTTGATATGTTCTTTTAAATCATGGGATTTCCCTAGATTGCTATTAAATATGGTTTTGTGTTTGCAAACTGTGTGACTACCTCAATAGTGAATGTCAAGTCCATCTTTATGTTGCCATGTCCATGGTGCTTCACGCCACAGCTGAGACTTGGACGCCTGGCTCTCACGCTTGCAGTTACTCAGCCAGCAAGGAAGCTGCAGACACTGCTAGGCCCTTCCTTGTGATGATTGAGGCAGTCTCTCTGTGTGTGGAATATTCAGAGTTGGATATATTTAGCACACGGCATACTTCCATGGGGCTTTCCATTTTCAGAGGCTTTCCATTCTATGGATTTCATGTTCTCCCAAAGCTGCTGCAGTACGGGCCAGGGCCCTGGCCTCCTCCGCTTGGAGGTTGAGCGGGCTGAGCTGGCCTTCCCTGGGCCCCACCAGAGAGGGGCACAGGTGCAGAACTGGGATCTGTCACTCTGACAGCTGTGAGCCTATAAGAAACTTCCCCTGTCACGGAGAGTTCTGCTCTTGCCTCCCACTCTGTGACTTTGAGCAAGGGCCCCTCTCCCTCCGGGTAGTGAAATTCTCAATTTGAAAAAATAGTGCTAATAATGATATCTCGTTGGGATAGTTGTGAAAATAAGTCATGTTCTTCCCTTCGACATCCCTGGCTCAATGAGGTTGGTGCCTTCTACAAGTTCCCCGTGTTCTTAGAGGAACTCCGAGGTGTGGCCCTCTAAAGGAAGAACATTCCTGTAAGATGACCTTAAATGAACTTCCATCTGCCCTTCGCACGTTAGCATAGAAAAGCCTAAAAATCAAACGTGGCCAGGCAGTGCAGGGTTCTCTCCATCAGGGAGTTCTGGGGTGCTTGTATGTTGCACTGACATTGCTATTTTTGTCAGTGCTCGGTCCTGTATTTCTTAACCTGAAAATGTTAGGCTTATAGTAATTAGGAACTTCTGTTTCTTGTAACTTACTAGTAATCCAGGGGGCTTTAGGAATTGAGGATTTACCAGGGGGACCATTGCGTTGTATTATGTCACTTAGCTGCTTTTGAAGAGAAAGGGCTCTGTATTTGTAGGAAAAGGTGATGGAAATTACTGAACAGAATGCCTGCATCGTTGAAAGTGTCGTAACCACAAAATTATGTTCCAAAATAAACAGCATTTTTTGATTCCGCAAGTTTCCCAAGAAAAGTAAATAATGTTTTCTATCCGGTTAGCACTAATCTTGGTATAGTAATGTCAAGTGACCAGATAATGCTTACTATAGTTCCGTGTGGTTAATGCTGAGCTTGGCCAAATACCATTAATAATAAAGCTAAATCTGTACTGCCTAAATCTGTGCTTTGTCCAGCATAGTCATTGAGCGTTGCTGAGAATATTGTATAAATTATTCATAGCATCTAGAGTCAATTAAGCTTGTCACATTGAAATGTATGCATTGTATGGTTTCATAATAGCTTGTTGAAAAATTATAATTTGAAACTATGTCATGGGCTTGATTTTCCACTCTGTTTCTTCCCACACAGAAACACACACTCATATGTAGAAAGATTATACTATATGTGCTGTAGTACATATCCACACGTAACTTACACATTCACATACATTGCTACAGTTTACGGATGCTTATGGTGTTGTTCTTTTTAGTCAGCCTTAAAGGTTCAGTTGCTGTCAGAGTTGATTCTTACTTCCTGTAGTTAGAACAAAATTCCACATCTCAGAATAGTTGTGGATCAATCATTCAATCAGTCGAATTGTATGTATGGCAGAGTACAGAAGTCATAAAGTACACATTTCTCCTAAAGAGGAAAATTAAAATCCGTTAGCATTAAGTATGTCATTAATTTATTGCATCCTGGTCTTCATCCATCGGAATGCTGCAAGAAGGCAAGTGACAGAGCAGGAGTAAAAGAGAGGGCACACTGAGCGTGTGCTGGTTCTCTCCGCAGATGCCCAGGGGCTGGGGCAGGCCAAAGCCGGGCCCCACGCACAGTGCTGGTCCTTGCATGTGAGTGCAGGGTCTCAAGTGCTTTGACTTTGTCAGTTGCCTCCCAAGATCCATTAGCGGGAGACTGGATCCAAAGTGGAGAAGCCAAGACTCCAAGCAGCATTCTGTGAGGGCTGCAGGCCTCCTCCTAGCTGACAGCCTCACCCACTCTACAGTGTTTCCTGTCTGCAGTAATTGCTTTGTGAAAGACAGTAACGCTTTCCATGTAGCTGTTCCTTCCCTGGTACAGCCCAGCCTTCTCAGAATCTTGCATCAGAGGGATGAGTTCTGTGTAATCCACAAACCTGTGCTGATCCATCCTGGTCACCCAAACGATCTAGTTTTCATCAGTTATTTTTGGTGTTTTCTTGTAGATTCTCACAAATTCTCTCTCTCTGTCTCTCTCTTTCTCTCTCTCTCTCTCTCTCTGTCTTTTGTGGGAGAGTCCGGACTCGAATTGGCACCTGTGTGGGATGCCTGTATCGTAGGTAGTGGTTTAACCACTACACCACAATGCCAGCTCCCAATTTTTTCAGCAATATTATAGTTTTTGGTGTAGAGATCTTTTACCTTTTTATTTATGTTCTGTTTTGATTTTTTTTTAATTTTGATAATCTTACATAGTTGATTAGGACAGAAAGGGTCAAGGGTTACAGGAAAGTGGGTAAGACCATTGTTTCGACACTAATACCTTTTTTTTCTGTATCTGGGGTCAGGGGAGAAACAAAGGGAGAAACCCCACCCAGCCTCCCACCCATCCCCGGTCCCCGATGTGAGGCATGCTCTGAGGATCCTGATCAAGCAGTTTTGATAGTTCAACAGTTCTAATTGCTGCCAATTTCACCGTTCCAAGCACGATGAAATCTCAGAATCCACTGGCTGACTTAGTCTCTTCATGGTTGGGATTCTGAGAACAGCAGTTCAGTTGGAGGAATCTCCAAAGAAACTTCGTCTGAGGTGATCCCAAACCTGATTCTTTTTATTATTATTATTATTGTTATTATTATTGGTTACATTGCATTATGTGACACAGTTTTATAGGCACTGGGATTCCCCCTCCCCTCCCCAAAACCCGCCCCCCCCCATGGTGGATTCCTCCACCTTGTTGCATTACCACAGTTCAGATTCAGTTGAGGTTCTTTCATTGCAAGCATCTACAAAGCATAGAGTCCAGCATCTTATTGTCCAGATAAGTTCAACGGTTTCTTGGGGAGACCATCTCTGGTCTGAAGATAGAGCCGGCAGAGTATCACCCCAATCAATTAAAAGCCCTGACATTACATCAGTAACAATTTATAACGTAATGGAATTAGCTGACATGGTATTGAGTAACCAACATGTTAAAAGAGAAAAAAAAAAGAGTGCAAGTTCTGAACCACATCCTATGACTTCTACATTGACATTTCAATTATTAGTTTATATACAACCGGGTTCTATACACATTAAAATGGCTATAGATTACTATTCAGCTGTCTCATGTCTATTTTCATTTTAGTATTTAGCAGTTTATAGTGTTGAAGCATGATTTTGCAGAACCTGGCTGTTTTTCGGATAGTCTAACTCTATAACTCTAACAAGACATATGTCAGCAGTTTAGGTGAACAGTTTTAGGAGGGGTGTGCAGAGAAATCTTCAATACCCTAGTGAGGAGTAACTAATCTTTGTGTCCCACCCAGTGAGTTATAAGTACATTCCCACTGCCCGTTTCCTGTCTGTTTCTAAGCTTTCCTTGCTGTTCTCTATCTATTCTAGGTTTTTTTGTTGTTGTTTATTTGTTTGTTTGTTTGTTTTGAGGGGTTCCTGGAGCAATCCTGATGGTCATTATGAGAGAGGGTGGGGACCCAAAGTCGAAACCAGGCAAGGACCAGAGAAAGCTCCTCTCCCTAGTCCCGAAGGAAGTTTACTGTTCTGTTTTTGGAGACCACTCAGTGCTCCTGGTTGTCGTTCCAATGACCTTGGATCTTGTAAGACAGGATTTGGGCCAGATCTGATTCTTGTGTGTGCTCCCCAGTACAGGGTCCAGCACCATCTGTCGCCCTATTCAGCTTATGAACATTCTGGTCATTGTCAATTGCTGGGTCAGTTCTGTTTCCAGCCCTGTTTCCAGTTCTGTTTCCACGTGAACTGATGGGTGTTGCAGTCCAACCCAATCCTGCCCACCTCATAATTAGCCCTCATGCAAACCAGTGGTAGCTGCAGCCTAGTCAGGTCAACTCCCCATAACCCCCACCAGGCCTGCCCTCTACCCTGGTTCCCATGCATGCCAGTATATACCACAGACTTGTTCAGTCTGCCCCACATCCCATTTAGCTTTCGTGCATGTCAATGGGCATTGAAGCCTAGTTCAACCCAACCAGCCCTACTATCTAGTCCACACACATACTAGCAGGAGCCTTTCTGTCTAGCCACCCCTGCCCCTGTCCTGGTTTTCATGCTCTCCAGTGGGAGTGGTAACCCAAGAGGGAGGAGCCCATTATTTCCCTGCTAGGCCACTCCCACTCCTGGATTATGCACTCTCTAGGTGGTTCTGGAGTTTAACCTGACAGATTTAGCCCCCAGTGCCAGCCGCTAACAACTGATGCTGTGGCAAAGCCCAGCCAGCCCTCACCCACTCTAATTTATGCTTGCACCAGTCAGAATTGTCAGCCCAACCTGGCTTTTGCCTGATCTAGCTCACTTGAGGCCTACAGGTGTTGTAGCCCTGGCTGATCTGGTCTGCCCCCATCCCAGCTCACACTCTCCAGTGGGAGTAGCTGTCGAGCAGGGGAGCCCACATTCCCCGTGCCAGCTTTGCCCCCTCACTCACTGGTTCTCATGTGTGCCATTTGGGTGCTGCGTCCACATCTGGTACGGCTCACCTCGCCTTGGCTTTCTGTAATGTGCACCGGTATGTGTTGCAACCGAACCTGGCC